GAGAACTACATTAAGGATAATGACAACATGCAAAGAACTCTAAACCAGGGTCTTGGTCCAAAAGTCTTTATTTGTCGTGCATGTACTCATCAGAGACAGAGACAGAGAAAGAGAGAGAGACTGCAATCCTTTCATTCCTCCATCCTGCCAGGATTTAACACACACACACCTGGTGAGTATTTTTTTAAGCTACAGGGACCAGGACTTGAACCATGGATGTCCACATGGGATCCAACTTCCTTAACCACTAGGCCACAGGGTTGACCCACTGTTCTCATTAACCCCAGTTTACAGATGCAAACACTGAGGCTCAAAGCTGCTAAGTCATTCTGCTCACGTCAAACAAGGTATTGAGCGGCAGTGCCCGGATTAGTCCCACAGCCCTGCACTGGTTGACCTAGGCACCCTGATCCTGACCATAACTCTCCTATACCGCGAGGAGAACTGGGCTTAGACAGGGCATGGCTGGTAACCAGGGAAGGCAAGAGTCTGACCTGACCTGCCTGCAGGTCCATTCTGTCCCGCTCTTTGGCTGTCTTACTCGTGTTCCTCCTAAAAGCCAACAGAGGCCTTTTACAGTGAGAAAAGGCCTCCAGGGACCAGCAGTTAGCATAATGGCTGTTGTCACTGGACTCTAATGTAGTCGACCATGGTTCGAGTCCCAGACCCGGGCGCATGTGCGTGCGTGCCCAAGATCCCGAGAGGAGAATGGAGAAGGGATTGTGGCATGGCCATCCCCCCTGGGGGGTGATTTCTCGCTTTCTGTCTCTCTGTCTCTCTCTGTCCTATGGCAAAATCCTCTCCAAAAAAGAAAGAAAGAAAAAGAAAAAGGCCTCCAGATGTTTGAGGATTTGTGGCAGGCAGACAGCAGACCCAGACAGATGTGCAGTTTTCCCTCCCACCATTGTCCTCTAAGCAGCCAGACCATGCAGTTCATAGGCTCAAGGGGTGACAGTCTAGGACAATGAGGACTTGGGGCTTAGGGATGAGTGATCATGTCCTGGAACACAGAGTAGGAGCCGGCCTGACCCCAAGCACCAGGCTACGCTTCTCAGAGCAGAACCCGGATTGCCCATGTTCCCATTGCTTACAAAGTGGGACATAGTCACTTGTCGGATGGTGCCTCAAACCCTTCTCTGTCTCAGATGATAAGTGGCCCTGGGCTAGCCCCAGCCCCGGCCATACCGTCCCCAGCTAGATGCAGCCAGATCAGACACTCCGATGTTCTCTCTCGCACTGACTCACTAGAGTCTGGATGACACACGGTGTTGTGGAGCAGGCAAGATGAGATGGGGGCTCGTGACCCCTCAGAGCCCAGGGCTGCAAGGGGCTCCCTGCTTTCTTGCTTCTAATTGCAACCAGGGAGTATACGGGGAGAGCGCCACCTCCTGAGGCCACACTTTAGGTTTCTGAACACCTGCAGCTGCTGGGAAGTTCTCCAGGCGGCTTTTCCCACATACCTAGGGCTGTCCCTACAGAGCTGGCCAGTAGCTAGGAGGAGAAGGCAGAAGAGAGGGAGGGCTCTGGGCTGCTGGTCTCTGTGGTCTCCCCATTCTGTTTCTTTCTTTCTTTTTGTTTTTTTTTTCTTCTATTTTTGGAGAGGTTTTTGCTATAGGGCTCGTGCGCTTGCCAGAAAGACAGACACACACAGAGAGACAGAAAGCAAGAAATCATCCCCCGGGGTGGGG